GCCATAAAGTTATAAACAACTAAAAAATTCCCTGTTGTCCATATTTCCGAATAAGGGAGAAAATTCTACCGTTATTGAGACATTTGYGGACCCAAATAGTATTTCTAAAAAGATTAATTATGGAACTAARTCCTTTAAATCCCGGAAAAAGCAAAAAACTCCAGCTCTGAAAGTATTCGGCGCAGTAAGATCTCCACTCCATTGGAAGGAAAAGGTGAAGAAAGACCTGACTTCGCTTGGAATCTCCAATTGGCGCCACATTGCGGAAAGYAGAAACGACTGGCGCGCTGTTGTTAACTCGGCTATAACCGCGTAAGGGGTGTCTACGGTAGTAAAGAAAAATAAGTCCCTTAAAATTTTACATTTATTACGATGAATACGACAACTAACCCTATGAACCGATTTTTTAATGTCTGGTTAGCAACCATCTATCAATTAAGCTCTTTTTAACCTTATCAAAAACTCCTTCTTTTSGTTAAGTTAACCAGTAGTTAAAGCGGCATTGAAAAAACGGTACATAGTGCTTACTTTAACTAAAACTTCAGCTTTAAATCGCTTTACGGTACATTTCATATAAATTGGTTAGTGATCCAACGATACTCAAGGGAATTTTGTCCAACACTGGCACACAAAGCTGCCACAAGTACATTATTATGCTGTTCCGTCGACCGCGTCGCCGCTCTGCTGCCTGCGTCTGCGTGTGTGGTCTTTAATTCGCATTTTGGGTGGTCTCATCCAAATTCGGTCGACGTCGTGTGTGGCCTGTGTGTACCGAACATCCATATGTGCATACATACATATATACGTATGTATGTATTTATATGTATGAATTTATTTATATTATCGGCATGTGTGGTCCACACCACGCCATGTGTGTGGTCCAAGCATCAACATCAATAGCGTACTTATTGTTATAGCTGCTGCTGCGTGCATCATACACCTTCTGGCGCTTCGTTGTTTTTCGCATAAAACTGCTGCTATTTTACCCCCTCGACTATAATTTATTGTTCTCCCATACAGACGTTTTGGTTTTTATTATTATTTCAATTAGCAATTGCGGTAATAAAAAACCGGTGGCCACTTAAGTCAATTCATTCATGCGGGTATACACTATGTGTRGGTACATACRTATGTATGTTTGTATGCAAATTTCTAGTATGTGTTGGTGTGAGTGCGTGCTTTTTAAAAGTTCATTTAGAATTTCTCAAGTGCCCATAAGTATTTTATTGTAATGTTAAATACATTTTTGTACTCATTCAGCGGGTCATAAACGGTTGTATATACATATGAATGTTTGTAAGTAGCCTTGCTTTTTAGAGCTCCATTACATGTGTATGTAGGTAGATATGTTTCACATGGCCTTACTATAGGTCTCTACAACTTTACACCACCACTGAGTGATCGGTCGATTCTATATAAATGAAAGTAATCCACTTGGATTGTTCGAAAGAAGCCGTTAGAGGGATGTATAATCATCTTCGAGTTGTGTATAGCTCCATAGAGTGTCATGTCATCTAGTGATTAAGTTTTATAAACGGACTTTCCGACTGGCTTGGACGTATGTGGTAGGATTGTTAGAACGAGGCGTTTATTGAGTCGGGATCGTTTCGAGGAAACCGAAGTACGGTACCCCGCTATGTCTGTAGCTTAGTCGGGTCTACGTAACCGGAGCGGGCATGACTTTTATCCCGCCAAGGACTGTCAACTCGGCAGAATTCTACCGCTACAACAACAACCCGTTCCCACGACAGTTGCGTCTACGTAACCGGAGCGGACCTGACTTTTATCCGGCTTAGGACTGTGAACTCGGCAGAATTCTGCCGCTACAACAACAACCCGTTCCCACGATAGTCGGGTGTGTGTAACCGGAACGGTGCTGGATTTTTATCCGGCTTAGGACTGTCAATTCTGCCACTACAAGAACAACTAAAATGCTGTAGCTTCTTCTTCTACCGCTTACAAGTCTCTAGCACCTATTTAACATTGGCCTAACTTCTTGCACAAATTACCGGTTCTGCGACTGGAAGCCTGAAACTCCAGAACAACTGCTAATTGACTGCATAACAGTCTGCAGATGCAGGATATAGGCCCTGGGATCCATCTTTTCAAATAGGAATCACTTCGCCTCGCTTGCACTTAACCCTTTACTGAACTTTATCAATATGCTGGGACTAGGTGAGTCTTTGTGACTTAGGAGAGTACGCCTAAGTTTGCGGTGCAATCCTCGCCTATTTATCTTATCTTAATATACAAGTGTCTAGCGGCAATATCGGTACTGTTCAGGCGATCGCTTGAACCGAAAATATATACATATTAGTCTTTCAGTAGTAGTAGTCATAACTTAGTAATAATTTCGGCCGGGTGTTAATAGCAGGAGCACCTACTGTCAAAGATAACATCGGGTATTTACAGATTTGCACTTATTCCTCCAGTTGGTACAAAAGTCCGAAGTGGAAATCAAGTTGAAAAAGATATGCTACTAGAAGTGAAAAAATTGAAGAGACTGGAGAGTTTGGAGAGCTTGGTTGATTGACTTTCAAGATATTTATGAACACTTTCAGTATCCGAAGACAATATCTACATTTGATGTGAAATCGCCTGAAGTAATTGAAGGAATTCGACCTCCATATATAGACGAAAGTCTGGAGAGAACAAAGCCCTGAGAAACCCAATTAGTACCAACAATAACACCAACGATTGATAGATATTTGTCAAAATGATGGATTTATACTTGAGAACGCCAGAAAATTTACTGATAGCCGATATAATGCAGGTTTTTGAAGATTTTCCGGTACAAATGCTTTGACTACCACTTGCAGAACTAAGGATAGATTGAGAAACTTATAAGGTCTGCGACACGTCTCTTATAAGTAGACACCGTTCGCCACCATATCCTAAGCGGAGGTATTATTCAATTGCATAGAAAGCCTGAAGTTCTCAAAGTAATGTTACTACTGGCAAAGTCTGTCATCGATCCATTGGAAGCACACAACTCAAGGCGACTTTAGGTTCGGAAGATGGGAGCTGCGGTGAAAATAAGCAAGATATGTGTCCTAATACTACTAAGACCGGTTTCTATGGTACCGGTCTAGAAATGTACTCTTAAAGTTTGCAATTTTATCGAAATTGCGTTATATAATAAAAAAAAAATATTAAAAAAATGGTTTCATATTATTTACAATCTTTTAACATCTAATATTAATTAAAAATTTAATTATTGAATAAAAAAATTAAAACTATAATTACAAGTATTAAATATTAATCCACTTGTAAAAAATGTAATGGCAATACTGTTTGTGGACACTGTATTGTTGTCATTTCTCAATTGCTCTATTGACATTTCACTGYAGGCCTTTTGACAAATAGTTGTCGAATGCAATTTTCATATTTCTTTTAAAAACTGTTTTCATTTAGCCACACGGGCGGAGTAAATTGCTAAGCTGTAAGGAACTGCAAGCTTTCCAAAATGCCACCAAAAAAAGCACCAGCAACAAGCAAAAAAACTGAACAAAAGAAGAAAGAGAAGATCATTGAGGTAAGATGTCTGTAGAGTTATATACTAAAGGAATGTTAAAGTAGACCTAACCTAACTTTTTATTGCTGTTGTCGATTCGTGTCCGCCGCAAACTAACCAATACATTCAACTGAATACAGGATAAGACTTTTGGCTTGAAGAATAAAAAGGGTTCCAAACAACAAAAATTCATACAACAAGTACAGAAGCAAGTTCAGTCGGGTGGTCAACACCCACGTACCGATGGAGACAAGCGAAAGGAGGATAAGGAGAAAAAACTGCAAGAGGCAAAAGAATTGGCCTTGATTTTCCGACCAGTGCAAGGACAAAAGGTTGAAAAGGGTACCGATCCGAAATCCGTAGTATGTGCGTTCTTCAAACAGGGTAGTTGCACAAAAGGCGATAAATGCAAATTTTCACATGACTTGTCCATTGAGCAGAAGGTAAGTTTGTTTGTAATACGAAAAGAAAGGCTTGTTTGAGCTTTAATTTATTTGTTTCTGCATAGACCGAAAAGCGTTCAATGTACGTTGATATGCGCGATGATGATCCCGATGACAACATGGCCAATTGGGATGATGCCAAATTAAAGGARGTGGTGGATAAAAAGCACTCCAATGAAAAGAAAAGACCAACTACTGATATTGTAAGAAATTATATTAATTTTTTCCATCACTTGCTATTTATTTAAAACATAAATTTCCAGATCTGCAAATATTTCTTGGAGGCTGTGGAGAAATCGAAATACGGTTGGTTCTGGGAATGTCCCAATGGTGAGAAATGTATTTACCGCCACGCATTGCCCCAAGGTTATGTGCTAAAGAAGGATAAAAAGAATATTGACAAACCCAGCGAGATTTCATTGGTTGACCTTATCGAAAGGGAACGAGCCGCATTGGGTTCAAATCAGACACGCGTAACGCTGGAAACGTTCTTGGCTTGGAAGAAACGCAAAATTCAGGAAAAGAAAGATAAAATGGCTGCAGAGGAGGAGAAGAAGAAGAATGACTTTAGCAAAGGCAAACAATTCGGTATTTCAGGTAGGGAAATGTTCAGCTTCAATCCGGATCTGGTCGATGACGGCCCAATGGAGGATGGTGATGCTGCATTYGATAATTACGAGCGTTCGGACGATGAGGACGCTGTGGAATTCAAAGAATTAGATTTGACGGCGCTTTCGCTGGCAGCACAGGAAGCGGATGGTTCGGGTACAGTAGCATCGGAGTCACGGCTGCAGGAACAATCCGATGCGGCGGCAAAGCAGTCAGCTGAAGAGGAAGCAGCAGCAACTGCAGCGAACGATGATAATAGCACACCTGCCAATGATGCGGCACCCATAAACAAGGAACTGTTTATGGGTCTCGTAGATGAACTGGAAGATTTAGATATTGAGGATGGTGACGATGATGATGATGACTAATGCCAGTAATAGAGATTTTGTTGTATCTATACAGAATGGTGAAACCAATATTAAAACAAAGGAATATCATGGAATTCGTAACATTTTCAAACGTACTCCACTAATTATTATAACAGAGGAATGCGAGATTTTATTAGAAATGTGTTATTCTACTTTCTTRTGACATCATAATTAATTYGAAATTTTTTTGTGTGRTCCGYGAAAGAAAACAAAAAATACTCTAAGCACAATGGTTGTAAGACAATAATTGTATGCGTTAAAATGAAAAACCGGTCGMGCGACTACCAGAAAGACGCTGGTAGCATGCCTTGTGGCTCAGGAATCTGTTGCTGATTCAAGTAATTCATAAAGAGCATTTCCAAACGCGTACGCGGACCACCTTCATCCACTTGCGCTAGTTTTGCGAAATAATCGCGTTGTATGTGTAAAAGTAGCTTYGTAAATTGTCTGCCATAAGCACGACACATCGAAAAACCTAGTGTCTGTAGCATTTCTAACATTAATGTAGCACTAATATCGGGCAGTGGTTCAAGACTACTAAAGTCGACCAGCCAACGCCAAGCGTGCTCCAACGCAAACGGGTGTTCTGGGCCTTCAGCCCGTCGTCCATTTGTTATCATGACAGCGGCATATAAACGTGTTATACCCGCTTGACGTTTCAGATCGTTATACTCTTCCACGGATTTGCCACGTAAGGGCACTAAAAACGGCGACTCCTTAAATATGTAAGCTAAGAAAAGTTTTCCAAAATCTGGTACAAGCTTCCATAGAGAAACCACAACCGAAGCGACTGGGAAAGCAGCTTGTGGATTGCTGGAAATTGCTGTCTCGCCCTGATTAACAAAACGTTTCGCAGTTAGTAGTAGACAATAATTGCGTCCCAAGGGATGATCGTTGGCACTAACTTGCCCATCTGCAGTGGAGAGCGGTTGTCCATTGAGAAAGTTAAATATTCGTTCAAATTTATCCTAATGCGTTGTAACAAAAAAAATTATTACAAAAGTGATATTGCAGTACTTGCCAGAAACTAACCTGCAAATGTTGTGGGCTGACTGCAGAGATGGCATTTAACGGTATATTAATGGCTTTTTGGCAAGCAAAACGATATTTTTTCATATTCTCATCAGTCTGTAGTGGTTTCACGCTGTCAACCTTTTGTTGATAGAAACCGTGAATCTCCTGATAGAATGCCAACGCTGCTGTTGACTCCTGGGCACTTGTTGCTGTTGCGGCTTTGCCCACTTGCTCCGATTGCACTGTTTGCTGTGCTACATACTGTGTTGGCTGTTGTGGTTGCATTGATTGTTGCGACGCCATGCTTTGTTGTGTTTCCACTGTTTGTTGTAAGTCTACTGCTTGAGGAGCCGCTTGTGCTTGATCCGCATTTGGTGGTGGTGTTGCTGCTACAGCTTCAGCAGGTATTTCAGTGGTTTGTGACAATGCCAATACGGCAGCCACCGCTTCTTCCTCTGCCGCTTTGCGCTGCTCTTCTAATTGAGCTTGCTCTTGTTGCTTCAGCAACGCATCCAGGTCGTCATGTATTGTACTATGCAAATCATCCATCTTATTGCATAGGCTATCGGCAAGTTTCAGCTCCGCCGCACCGCATTCGTCTGTTTTTATTTTACTCGTGAGCTGATCAAATAGTTCGACTAATTCTTTCAACTGGCGATTATAATCATTACACGGCAGCAACGATTGCTTATCGATGGATATAAGCGCCTTGGCCACAGCTTCATATTTACTGCGAAATACGCCGTGATACTTTGCAACACATTGAAATGAGAAGAGTTGAAGTTGACGTTTAGCATTTAGACGCATAGCATCCATTTCGCGTTCGATTTCTTGTAATTCGAGCGCTGTCTGTTTTTCAGCCTTTTGTATGATATGTGCATCGGTGCGCTGTCTCTCCGCGTTTAACTCTTGCACCAGCTTGATTTGCTGCTCGCGCTGACGCAGTGCATTGTCACGTAATACTACCAATTGCTTTTCCTGCATTTCAAGCATTTGCTGACGCACTTGCTTTTTGCGTTTCTCCTCTGCGTCGCGCAGGAATATTGTAGCGCTGACAAGCTCATAATCCAATGACTTCAATTTGAAACAAATTAGAGCRATTTAGCATTTTTAAACTTGCTACTTACTGTGGATGGTTTTAATACGGGTATTATTAGCTTAGATAAACTTTCGTTTCTCTGCGGCGTCTTTTGTTTTTGTGGGGTAATTTTCTTAGGTGTACTCGATGCGAGTTTCGCTTTTTCATCTTGCAAATCTGGTAAGTCTGGCCCAATTGTGCGCTCCTTCACCAAGGATGAAATTTCAATTGCATGCTGCAACGTTATTTCATGTGGCTTCATAATATCGCCTATTTCGATAATCTCTATCTCCACACCCTTATATTTAAAAAAAGGCAACGATATAATTTTGTTTTATGCATGAATAATGGTTCTTTGACAATTATTTCACTTACCGCTTCACCCATAATAAACGATAGAGATCTGCAACTTTTATCTTGATATTTGTAATTACATATAATAAAAATTTAACAATCGGTAAACAAAACTGTGCAGCTGTTTTGGCGCATAAATATTGATGAAAAGTGRAACTGAATGGTATTTTGAAACATAGGGTGGTGCATGTGAGAAAAATAACAACTGTAAATCTGCTTTCGATCGAACAGCTGATTAACAAAACAAACATATTGACAAAACAAAAGAAAAACATGACATATTTTGTTGCTTTTTTTTATGGATATGGTTATCATGATTTAAATATTTTAATGATTTTTTGAATTTTTTATTTATATCGGTACCACCTCATTAACGGCCATGAGTAATACTTACACTATACACATATATATATGTATGCTTAAAATATAAAATCTAATTTAAAAGAATTTGATGCCGAAACTATCGTCCAACTGCACCACTTCACACTTGCCTTTATTTTCCAGTGTGCGAAACGCATTTAGTAGCACAGTCTCATCTACACCATGAAATTCTGTCCCCTCTGAGTTCTCACCCGACGCAATCTCATACAATGTACAAATCGTATTCAATTGTCCCGTCTGTTGTATCCAATCGTAAACCATATTCGCATACTCTTCCAGTGTATAGCTATATACTTGCCACTCTATACGTCGTTTGTCCAATGGCGCTGCATGTCCAGTACGTTGCAGTTGCTCCAATATAACTGTGATTGCTTCAGGCGATAAACGTCGTTTAATGACGTCATTGTTAAAAAGTGGAAATGTATTTTCATTAATGTTCACTTGGAATTTGTTTAAATATTTGAGGTAGCGTAAGAAGAGATCGGACCACACTTTAATTTGTTGATTACGTGTTTCTTCATGTGGTTGTAAGCTGTGGAGGAAAATAAATGCTGAGCATTGTTACAGMTGTTTATATAGTTTTATTAACTTACGTGAAAAAAGGTGGAAATGTATACTCCCATGGCCATTCGAAATCCGTCATCATGCAAATATACAATGTTTACAATAAATGCAGGTAAAAAATAAACTCTTGTTCTCAGTTTTTAGCAAAGTGACTAACAAATGAGATAAGATGTCTACAAAAAGTACAGGGCGTCAGCAATATCAATGTTATACTAATGTGGGATTCACAACATACTAGTAAAGCGTTATCGCACATATATATAGTAAAATCGATAACCAACATTTAGACACCTCGAAATATAATTCGCGCATTGTTTATTTTAATATCGCAAATATTTCCGAAAAATAATTATCACTAAATAGATGGTGTACTAAATTTGGTAATTGTTGCTTTATACAAGGCAATCGAAAGTAATACAAATATTATGAAGTAAAAATTATCGATAACGCTTAATTAACAAACAAAAAWTTTTGTTGTTGTTAATATATAATATTCCTAAACTAATTTCGAAGAATGTTGCCGAGCAGGCCAGATAAAAATTCGGGTCCGTTCCGATTTCTTAGACCCAACTGTCGTGGCAACAAGTTCGGTTTCTCTATGCTTATGCGTTATAAATAAAACACAAACACTTATTACATTAAAATGATTTTAGTATATTTAAATATACACATTTTTACTTATTTTTTTTTTTTTAGAAAAAATGCTTTAACATTTCTTGCTATATAATTTTTCTTTTTGCAATCTTCATTTTGTGTCTTTGTATTGTGTTTTTGTTGCGAATTCCTTCGATAAATATTTTCTTTCTTCAATATATTTTCTTATAGACTTTTTAATATACAAAATGGGACCGACCAGATTTTAATCTTTACGACGCCACGCTGTCCAACCTGCAACTGCGTGAAAATATTACCGATTTTTAAAACACACACTTTCAGCGACATAAACATGATCGATACATACTCTTTTGTTTGTTTTTTGTTTTGTTTGGATTTTTATTTTCTTATATATATGTATATATACGTATATATGTGTATATATAGATTTATTTATTCATTTAATATTTATATATATACGCGCGAAACTTACTGCTATTTTACATATACATTTAAAGTTTTTTTCACGATTCCTTTCATATTTCAGCATTTGCTCTGCGCCTTCYATACGACGTTTGTGGCAACAACACAATACTAAACTTTTTATTATTTACTATTTTTTAGTGTATATATTTCTCAGTTAAACATTATTTACTCATCAATTTGTTTTACATACAATATATTTCAAATATACAAGTTACATAGAGCTATGGCAGCGTGTACACATATAAAACAAAATTTTAAAATCGTTATAATATGCAAAAAATTAAACAAAATCAATACTATGTTATTAATATACATACATACAGTTAAATTATTTGCAATACAAAATAAAAAAAAAACCAAATTCAGCCATTGTATAATATTTATAGTTACAAAATTATCGCAACGCATTTTTGTTGCTTCATAACAGCATTTAAAAAAAGATAAATAAATAAAAAAAATAAAAACAAAATTGCATTGCGTTTTCTTTTAGACTTACAATGTAATAAATGCCTATATCTGCTTTATTACTATTAATTTTTAGTACAATATTTATAAATGTATGCATAGTACTCAATTTTATTGCATGTATATACATTTGTATATATGCAAGTATATAAATTACACAATTTGTGTGCGCAAGTATTTTTTTATGCTACAAATATGCTATAATTTTAATACAATCTTTCGTGTTTTATTTTTTTTTTTCGCCAAAATCACACATAACTACGCCTAATTGCTTACGCGTTTCATTTTTTGTTTTTATTTTTCAAACGTTCATGCTACTCTTTCGTCATTACTAAATACAAATTACTTGCGTTTATTGTTATTTAAAGTGTTGCATTTAATTTATTAGTTTACTTTTTGCTTTTGTTTTGCTGATTTTTGGTGCGCAGCGATTTGTAAATTACAACAACACATAGAAAATGTATACGAGTGTCCTACATGCAGATTGTTTCATTATCGCGAACTATTTCGGATTGCATATAAACCGTTGCTTTAGTTTTTGCTTTTAACCATTACTTAATACTCAACACTTTTCATAAAAGTTTTCATTTATTTTCTCTAGAGGCTGATTTATATTTTTTATACACTTTAAAACACTACAATTTTTTAGTTTGCCTATTTTTCTTTTATTTATTTGTTTGAAAGATTTAGTTGGTGCGATTTTGTAATTTAAGTTGCTGTTGTTATTGTTGGACCACAATTTGCTGTTATGTTTCTATATATGTATATTGTATCCTAGCAAAGAGACACAATTTTAATTTTCTTTTATGCATTAATTTTTTCCTGCAACTAATGCGCATCGCGGTGAAAATACACAATTAACAACAACATTGGTTTAGAGCATGCGTTTGTTGTGGTCGCACAACTACACATACAATAATTATTTGAACATTTATTTGCCTTCTCATTCTCATAGGTCAGTAGCTACATTAATGTACAACAACTTTAGTTCGACAGGATTCGAGTGGAGGTATTCGATAGCGTTTTTAGTTATTTACTTATTTATTTTGTTTGAAGTTTAAAGGACCTTTGCTTTTTTTGTATTTGTTTAGCAATTATGTAAGTATGTTTTAACGGATTTTGAAAGTTTGGTAGACTGAAAATTTATTGATTGTGAAGTGTTGTAGGATTTTCAATTAGTTTTGAAAACGACTTTTGGGGTTTAGTTTTTAGTTACGACGCCAAATTCGCAAAAATTTGACAATTTCAATTATTTAACATATTTATGCGCTTATTTATAATTACAGTAGAAGCGTTAGTTTTTAGTTGCATTAAAGACTATGTTGATTGCATTTAAATAAAATTTTTTTTTACAATTTATAGAAATTTAGAAAATAAAAGGAAAAAGTTTTAAGAAAATTTTACAAATTAGATAGTCATTGAAAACGGTAAGAGYTTTAAATTAACGCAAAGTTGTATATGTTTTTTTTTTAATAAATATTGAAAATATAAGTAAAAATAATAAATTTTCATGTCGACCAAAGAAATCAAAACAAGTGCCAAAAATGTATACAAATAAAATAACAGGGTGACTACGGAAAAATGTTATAAATTGACAGTTGAAGTTGTAAATTTTAAAGCTTATTTTAAAGCAAACGAAGTTGATTGAACGCAAAAAATATTATATTATTTTAATTTTTAAATTTGTTTAGAAAAAAGAAATTTTGCTGAACTATAAATATAGAGAGCAAAGCGAAATATACCCAAAGCATAAAATTTTGTTTTGAAAATTAAATAAAACATATTCCCTTTAAAAGCWAAAATTAAAAGCCAAAACAAAAATAAAATTTAACTTCCACTATTATTTGCGCTCAACGACGTACACTTGCAAGAAGTGTGCCCTAACAAACAAACAAAAATTGCTACTTAATAGTTGCTTAAAGCTTTAAATGTAACAACAAAAAATTTCATACTTTTACAACTGCAAAACTCAATGGCATGGTTTTCTTGAGTGTGTGTGTGTTTCGCGCAGCTGTGCTGGGAATCGTATGGTGTGCAGTAGGAGTTTTATAGCTTCTCATTGTCATATACATACATACATTTATAATATACCTTGTTTTTTTTTTTAATTTTTTTTTAACATTTCATAAATTATTATTTAGTTTCCTTACTTCAACCGACGCTTAACACGTATGACATACAAACATACATACACGATTAGTAAATGCCTATAAACCGAGCTATGATTTCAGCCGAAAAAAACAAAAGCTAAACACTAATGTCTTACGCTCTTATAGTCTGTCTTTTGCCATACGCTCTGCAGTTAAGCTTATATATTTATAATTACACTACCTCACCTATGTGTGGGTTGGTTGAGATGCGCGTGCACTTCATTTGGGTAACGGTTCCAGATAACAACGTACCGTATTGTTCTCATCCAGCATTGCAGAAATGTTCCGGCCAATTGGTTGTGTGTGCGACGATGACGGTGTTGTTGCTGTTAGTGTTGTTGGTGACACTTGTTGCCTTTTCGACAGCGGATATTGTTGCGCTTGTTGTTGATTGGCCGGCGGTAAGGGCGGACCTAGACCGCTTCCACCACCACCCGCAGCGCCGCTGCTATTATGAGTCGTCGTGAATAACTCATGCACACCTATTCGATTATTCGGTGAGATCTTTTTTATAGCGCGTATTGAGCTCGCGCCGCCACTGCCACCGCCGCTAATGCCAAAAACCGCCGCACCGCTTGACGTTGCCGCATTGTGGTGATCAAAGTATGCTGCCGCCGCTGCCGTTTTATCATTTTCGGCTTTCTTGCGTTGCCTTCTGTTGAAGAGAGAGAAAGATATAGAGTGAATGACGTGAAAGAGATGGAGGAAAGAAATAAGGAGGGAGAGAGAAAAGTAGGCAGAGTAAGAAAGATAGGAAATAGGCGAAAGGAGAGAAGAGAAAGRGGGAAGAAAAGAAGAAAGGGTGAAGGAAAGAAGAAAGAGGATAGGAAAGAATAAAGAGGTGAAGGAAAGAAGAGAGAGAAAGGGGAAAGTAAAGAGAGAGAGAAAGGAGAAGGAGAAAGGAAATTAGAAATATAGGGGAAAAGATAAAGAAAAAAAAGTAAAAGGGAGAGGAAATAGAGAGAGAGAGAAATTGGAATAGAAAGCGAGAGTGGAAAGGAGAAAAATAGAGGAAAGGAAAAATAGGAGTGACAAGAAAGGAGAGAGAGTTAGTCAACAGTACCAAATAAAAAAACGGAAAGTTTCAAAACTTACTGAAACCGCCGCTGAAACTCTTCATCTTGCAAGGCAATCAGCCGCCGCATGCGTTCATCACCCTGTGGCAATCCGCGTCGCTGCGCGTTCTCTCCATCGTCGTCGTCCTCCTCGCTCGATGCTCCACTCTCCGCGTGACCAAAACGACTGCCACTGTTGCCAACACCTGMYCCAACGACGCCATTTCGCGCCGCCTCATAGTGATGTCGTTGCCGCAGCTGTTGTCGACGCATAGCGCTACTACTAACACCACCACGACCATTGTTCACTACCACATCATTGTCGCAATCGTTTACATCATCGTCATCATCATTATCATCGTCGTCGACATCGTCATTATCACGACCATACATATTCAAATCCATTTCGTAATGTTGTACATCGGAATTACGATTGCTGAGAATCTCCTCATAAACCGGCCCATCACCACCGATTGAATTTTGATTGTAGTACTGTTCGCTGCCCGCGCGTCCACTCGGATCGTACTCCTCGTGGCTCAGATCACAGTTGGAATGCTTATTTCTATAGTAACGCTGTGTGGGCGTGTGCGCGACGCCCATAAACTCTGGCGAGTGATGATGTGGATAATGGTAGGCGTGCGATGCGGGCGCTGGCGGTGGTGGCAATTGTGAGCTTGCGCGTCGTCCCAAATGCAACAAATGCGCATGCGCAGCGGCTGCTGGCTCCAATTGTTCCTCATCTGAGGACAATTGCTGTTGTTGTTGTTGCTGTTGATGATGTGCCGCCAGCATCATGGCCGCTGATGCGTGACGCCGGTGTTGTTGTTGCTGCTGTTGATGTTGTTGTTGCTGATAGTAGGCAGCAGCACCGACCGCCTCATCGTAGTGCGGATATTGTTGTTGCTGCTGTTGTTGCTTCAGCGTGGTCTTCTTGTATGACGGATAGAAAAGTATTTGCTGCGACGCCGCTGTTGTGCGACTGTGCAATGAACCGCTCGGCGATTCACCACCAATACCGCTGCCGCGCTTCTTCTTGCCATGCGGCTGATGCTTTTGCGTCCAGTAGAAGAACTCATGCGCCTGCTGTGGCGCAACYGCGTTACCGACGTAATCGCGCGGATGTGCCAGGCTCAATGCAGTGTTGTTGCCGCCACTTGGATTACCCATTTGCTGCTTCCAACCATAGTAATCCGGCTGATGGTAGTACGCCTCTTGCGGTCCACCGCCCGCTGAAATACCGGCGCCAATCATTTGCTGCTTTTGACCACCGAAAATCAGATGCGTCGAGCCGGCGGATGAGGTGGGTGAAGTGTGACCAGCGCTGGGCGTACGCAGCCCACCGCTGCCACCAACTGAATGCCCCGCATTCGCGCCACCGCGTTCCAGCACAATATGCCCTTGCATGGCATCAATAATGGAGTGGCCACCCTTGCCGTGCTGCAACGTCGTATTGCCGCCGGCGCCYTTCACCGCATCCATATCGGCATCACTAGTTAACGACAGATTGCGCGCATCATTCAATTCACAATCCGATGATGCAATAATSGCGTCCTCAGCRGCCGATATAATACCGCCRGTGTCATCCGAYACCAAACCCTCGCTGCCAATTGGCAGTTTGGACTTTTTCAATTGCACCGTGTTCGAGTTGCCACGATGTGTGCCGGAAAGTGTACCACCGCCGCTACCGTTGCCTGGACCGATACCACCGCCACTGCCGCTACCACTGCCAATACCGTTATTGCCGACGATGCCCGAGGAAATTGAAGCCTTCGAGCAGCGCAAACACTTGGGCAACCAAGAATTTTGCCGCACATATTTACGATATTCGCGACGAATCTGCAGGAAAGTATACAAAAAAGTTGGGAAATAAGGACGTTTGAATAAGGTTAAGCGCCTGTGCAGCTTACCTTCTCGTTTTGTATGCAATGAAACACGAAAATATACAATCCCATTAGTGTGTTGAAACTAATGAAAAGATAACCGCATACAACGGCCAAGTCGTCCTCTGCTTTAGCCAGACGTAGATAATAATAGGCAGATATCCATACAGCGCTTAGCAATAGTAGGAAAATAAAGGAGCAACGCATGTCGAAGCTGTAAAAGAAATGAAAAAAATTTGTTGCAAATAGGAAAAGGCTTCAACGGAGCTAAAATAGTATTCACAGGTGCATTTCTTATATATAATATATGTGACCTGGTCTACGAAAAGGGAGCTAACGTGCGAAAACTAGTTTTCTGGGAAACAACTGTTAAAAATCTCATCTTCCATCCGAATCAACTAAAAAGTGAAAATTGATTTTTTGGATTTTTTGACACCTAAGCCCCTTTTCCGTAGACCAAGTCACATATTTGGAAATTGTAGCCTTACTTTGAACAAGCGTCCATGTCAATATTTTTTTTTTTAATTTCTAATGATTTTTCAAGTTCTGCTTAACCGATTTACTTGAACTTGTTTGACGATTTTACTTACCGCACATTGGCGAGTCGCGTATGCTCTTTATTTTTCAGCGTTGTGTGACTCTTGCGACACATGATGACCCATGATAAGAAGGTGTAACCCAAAGCTCCCTATAAAATCAGACAAATCCATATTGAATATCATAGTTTAMAAAGTGAAATTTATTTATTTACTTTTTCAAATATATATATTCGCACTTACCAGCAAAAATAGCAACACAGGTGCCACAAAACTCGAATAGAACAGCGTATTCGCCTCCATCAGCACACAAAAGTCATTTTGTGTGTAGGTATTTGGATTAATGACCAATGAAATGGCCACAATTGTAAGGGATAAACCGTAGGAGAGTAAATAGTAACAGTTCACTTTGGAAGTCTGATCAACTTCGAGTAACATGTCATCGGTGGTTAGTGTGGAATATGATTGGAACGCTAAGAAGAAATTGCCATGAATAGAATATTGTAGAGACATTTAGAAAATTTGAAATTACATAAAGGAAACAAAAACTTTGGAATAAGGAAAATGTAATAACAAAATAAGTAAAAAAAAATTAAATATTAGAAAAAGTAGAATATAAAAATCAGAATTAAAATAAAATACATAATTTAAAAGAATTAGAAGTGAAAAAGTATTCAAATCAGATTTAAAAAAGAAAACATAATTTAAAAAAATTAAAAGTGAAAAAATGTTTGAATAAAATTATACGGTGTAAAAACATAATTTATTTAATTTAGAACTAAAAAAATACTACAACTAAAAATAGAATTGCAAAAAAGAGGAAATAGAACAAAAAATTAAAATAAAATAAAAAATTTATGAAAACAATTATTAAAATAATTTTAAAAAAAGCTTGAAATAAAAAAAATAAAATTAAATAAAAAAGTTTTAATTAACAAGTAAGGAAGAGCTAAGTTCGGCTATAAGCAAACATTTTATATTACTGGATTAAAGCCACCTTCCTTCAGTTATATAGGATTTATTGCGAGTTTTCACACGATCTTATTCATTCTAAGCACAAATGTGCACATTTATAATAAAAATATATGCGATATAAAGTCTGCCGGAAGTTCGAAAACCTTCATATTTGGAATATGATGGCTAAAACAAACCCATTTATAACACACAAGCATACTATTATCAGGAAATGATTATTTCAGAATTTCAACTATATATCTTACATGTCGACCGATATTTCCGGTTTAAGGTCAACTATAGATATTGGGGTCCATATATTCAATACCTAGAGGCTTGAACAGTTTTGGTTCGATTTATGCAATTTTTAGTCATAAGGTGGAACATCTCAAATGCACGGCCTTTGGGGTTCCTAATTTTTATCAATCTTATATTCACAAATATCATTTTTTCTTAAATATCAAAAAAAAAAAAAACTTAACTGCTCCAAAAAATCGGTATTTATAAAAATAATAATATATATTATAAATTCGCTGTGACTCAAATGAAATTAAAATAAAGGATTTTCATAATTTTTTTTATAACCAAACATAACTTTTTGACCCTCAATTGAACACTGACAATTTAATAACTAGAAAAACAAAAAGGGAATTATAAAATCTTACACTCACCTTCGAAACAGAACCACGCTATCGCCGATAATATCGAACAATGTAGAAAAACAGTAGTGAAACCACAAAGGATACTCGTCTCATTCTGCTCTATGCCAATTAGGAAAAGAATTTCAATGAAAAGTAGGCAAATGTAAATGCTGCGATAGATGGAAGTGCGCGCAGACTGCAAAAAATATGAAAAGAAAATAGCGAAAATTGGGAAAAATTTTGACAAAAATTTGAAAAGCAGTTTATGGCATTCAAGTGAAAATAACAGATAGTTTGCTGTTGTTATAGGTGGTGGATTACAATYAACAGCAGTTGCGGCAAGTTTTTTCGTAGATAAAACAGTAATTTATAATGCAAGTAATTTGTAGAGTATTAATACAGTTATTTAAGCACTAAGCAAATATTTTTCGAAATTACAAAAAAAAGTTGCAATCAAAAAAAAATTTTTTTAATATTCTTCGAAATTATTACATCAACAAAAATTAAATGCAAAAACATTGAATTTTTTTCGAAATTACAATAATAAAAGTTAWTTTTTTTTTGTTCGAAGCTCTAAAAATAAATCGAAATAATTCTTTTAAGATATAAAACAAATCCGAAATCCAAATTTTCMTTTCGAAATTACAATAAAAGTTCAAATTTTTTTCGAAGTGTAAAAAAAAACCAAATTGTTTCAAAATTCAAAAAAAAATAGAAAACATTTTTCTAAATTAAAACAAACACGAAATAGTTTCAAAATCACAAAAAAACACTGAAAAAAAATTTCGAAGTTACAAAAATGGGGTTTTCTTGACGGAAAATTACTTTTTTGGAACCTATTTAAATTTACTTTGTATATTCGAAATCACTCAAAATTCGATTAAGCTCGATTCTCWAGTTAGAAAAATAAATAAAATTGTTTCAAAATTGCAAAAAATTAAATTCGAATTTTTTTTTCGAAGTTAATTATGTTCAAATTCCCGAAAAAAAATTTCGAAAAATAAATTGTTTCGAAGTTACAAAAAAAGTTGTTTTCTGAMGGAAAATTATGTTTGAAAGCTATTTA